GGCTCATACGATAATGCAATCATTCTAAATATCTGCGGAGATTTCAAAATCTCTCACAATAAAAGAATTAAATTTATTTATATGTTAGTAATAATTTATTCAAGCATGCATATATATGTTTTTAGAGAATTTTAATCATCATACCTGCATAGCCTTATTGGCTTATACGGTAATATAATTATCCTAAATATCTGCGAAGATTCAAAATTCTCACATCATAAAGGATTAAATATTATATACATTTTTTAAAAAATATTTTAATGCGTAATTATATAATTTTTATTTTACAATATAAAAATCTTAATCGCTATACCTATGAAGTCTTATTGACTTTCACAGTAAGACGATTATTTTAGAAGTTTATGGATATTCAAAAATCTCACATGATCAAAAGATTTAATTAGACAGTATAATTATAATTTATATTTATTAATTTAATTAATTAATAGTATAAAAAATGTTTATTAATTTTTTTTACATTATTCATATAAATTTGAGAATTGTGATATCTGTGAGGATTTATTATCTTACAGAATAAGATAATTAATTTAATTCTCTATGAAGATTCTTGAAATCTCTCATGAGACTTAAATAAATTATTAATATGGGTTATAAAAAGAGATCATTTTAATCAGTTATGGAGACTCATACGATTTTCACACAACCAATTTTATTTGAGACAACTGAAGCTATGTCTATTAAACACACATGGTCACATTCAGGCAAATTTAAATTTTAATTATTAAAATGGCCTAACAATCTTTATAATTATGGCTTAAGAAACAACCAAGTGTAATTTTTTTTAAAAAAATACATTTCACCATAAGTTACCAACAATATAAGCAACATTAATTGAAGCTAACATTGTCAAACATCATGGAGAATTTTTTTGATCCAAAAAACACGTTTAACTTGGGTGATCAGTTTGTGTGAATATACAAAGCTACACACGTATGAAACTAATCAGAGAAGACAATTGATCTAATGAGGCAGATGACCCGAAGAAATGAAATACATAAAAAAAAAATCAGAACTTGGTGATCTGATATTCAAGTACTTGTCAGTAAAGTGGGCGAGGTTCCTGAACTCGTTATCATCAATGCAGCCATTGTGATCAAAATCTGCAGATTTGATGCCTCTCTTGTTCTTCCAGGAAGTAGAAAGACAAATCTCAGGATCCCTCGTTTGAACTCCTTCAGATTCATCACTCTCTTCCCTCCCTTTTTCTATTTTTTTCATCCTCTATTTTTCTACCTTTCGTTCCAGCCAGAATCGTTCTCTCTCTCGTCCTCTCGGTCCCTCTTTTTTTCTTCACCTCTTCTCTCTCAATCTCATGCTCTCTCATTCTTCAGTTTTTTGCTGTTTCACCTCCTCTTTTCTTCTCTTTTTTCCTCTCTCGATGCTCTATCTTTTTTGCTTTGCTGTTCTGGTTTTCTGCTTCGTTTTCTCATCCAACTACATGCTCTGTTTTTTTTAGTTTTCTGCGTCTGCTCTTTCTCGTTCCTATTTCTCCACTTTCATGCTTTCTTCCATTCAGCTTCTCTTCTCCATGCTCTGTCACTCTCCCTCTCTGTCTCTCTCAAACTTCTCCTCCTTCTGTACTCTCTCCATCGCTCGGTCTCTGTTTATCTTCTTCATTTTATTTATGCTCTGTTTTTGCTCAGTCTTTTGGGTCCGTCCCCGTGGCTTTCTTTACTCTGCTCAATCCTCCTTCTCGTGATTGGCGCAGAGAAGAGTGTGTATTCTTTTTCCTCTACTCCTCCTCCCTTTTTATGCTTCTTTTATTCCTCAGTTTTCTGCTCTGCATGCCGCTGTTTCCTTTTTTTCTGCTAGCCGAAAGTGTGTACGTATGTTGGTTGCTTGCTGCTCCTTCTGCTTTGTTTTGCTGTGCATGCATGCGTCTGGCTCAAAGTGTTTTCGTGTCTGTGTGGCTATGTGTTTACGTGCTCCCTTTTGCTTTCTTTCTCTGCTACGTCTGGGCTTTCCTCCTTTTTTTTCTGTGTGTTTTGTGTGTGATCTGTGCATGCTTGGTTCTTTTAGTTTTTCCTTTTCCTTCTCCTGTCTACATCTAACCAAGTGGAGAGATCTTGGAAGGTTGAGATTTAATCTCTTTTTTTATTTTGTTAAATTATTATATTTTTAAAATATAATCTTAAAAAAGGATTAAATTTTATTTTTATATTTTTTTAGTTATTTTTGAATAAACTAAAAAAAATAAGATCTTAGCTAATAAAGATTATCTAGAAAACTTAAATTCTGTTAAGTTTTTTTTAAAAATATAATTCTAAAAAGGATTAAATTTCATTTTTATATTTTTATATTTTTGATTATTTATTATTAAATAAATAAAAAAATATCCGGACAAAATACGGTGTTCACAGTTGGTGCTCATGCTTCCCCTATCCTATGGCTTTCTCCTGATTAGTGTTCTTAGGATTTTGAGGGTAACTATTTCTATTATGCCCATAGCATCCGCAGCTAAAGCAAATCGAGTTTAAGCTTTCATATTCAACGTTGTATAGCTCATCTCTAATTAGAAGTCTGTGCACCAATTTTTTTTTTTTTGGAGATATATTTCATCACTTATGCACACAAATGTCCCTCTTTCAGTTATCCCCTGTTCATCCTTGGAAATCAATTTTGATAATGAGTTTGAGTTCACCTTCAGCATTTTCCCAATACAATTTCTCAATCTCCATAAGATTTCTTTATTGTAACATTATATCGGGATGTTTGTGAGCCTTATCCATAAAGCAATTTTTCCTAAAATATTATCATTCAGGTTGAACTCAGGTGACCACTGTTGTACTAATATACAATGATCGAATATCATCTAGGGGCCTCCATTAAGTATTCTATCATAAGCTAATTGATCCTTTATTCTAACAACATAATAACAATTGACAAGATCTATTAGCTTAAAATCGTTTAGCTGCCACATTCTAGCTAACCTGGGCTTGAGTGACTTAGGATTGAGGTGCAGACCCAATGTGTTAATGACTATGGCATCCATCCATGGTAGGCATATATTTTTCCATTCTTCTTTAGAAATATGAAGGACTGGATATTGCTCCATAAGCCTTTTAGTTCCATCTGAAGGTGACCAATCTCAATCCAATTCCTTAACAAGATCTTCATTCCTATGGCTTGCATTTCCCTCAGTGTTTCCATAACACCCATTGTAGCCAATTAAGGAGTCTTTGTATGATAAGGGAGCTTTATTATTCTAGAATGATGCTGGCTTGTTGTTGATTGAATTAGTAGCATTTTCATTGTTATGCTGTGTATCTATTAAATGATCAGGAGTATTCTCATTTGTAGTAGGTCTGATGACATTTGAATGTTGTAGCATTTCTAGGCTTTTTTCGTGCATCACTCATCTGGCTTTGAATTATTTCTCAACAATAAATCCATTTCCTCCTTAGATGCAGGGGGATTCATCATCTCCTTATGAGATATGGAAGCTGAGAATGTGAAGTTGGGATCAAATGGCTTTTTAGAGATCATAGGATAGCTTAAGGGTGTGTTTGGATTTTAATTGGAAAAAATTGATTAAGAAAAAAATTGATTATTAAAATGTGATGGTGTTTGGATAAATTTTCAAAAATTGATTATGATATTGATTTTTCAAAATGGAACAAATTTTAGCTTATTCCAAATGGAGTTTTGGAAACTAAATGGAGTTTGGGAAAATTGGGGTGTTTGGATAAAAATTTTCAAAACCATGATTTTGAACCCAAAATTGATTCTAAATGGGTATCCAAACAGGCCCTAAGAAGAAGAAACATAGGTTAAGGAACAAGAAAGAAGTTGAACCTTCTCTCCAAGAACTAAAGAGAAGGTGGAGCTTCTTTCTCTGAATTTTGTTTTTATAATTCAAAGCTATTTGGCAAGGTACGTAAAACTGAATTGGTCATTAAACCGGTCATGGCACTGAGTCACGGGTTAGTGGTTCAATCGGGGTTGAACCGGTGGCAAACCGGTCATGATTAAAATAATACAATTTAAATAAAAAGGCATTAATTATAAAAACATTCAACCAAATCCAACCACTCAAAAGTCTAACAATAATAAAATACTATATTTTTGGACTTAGCATATTTTGCCTCTAATTTTTCATTTTTTGACTTCAATTTCACTTTTTTTTGTTATCTTATTTCTGAACTCAGAGCTCTGAAAAATTAAAAATAAAAAAATCAAAAATGACGTCATTTTGGGGGTAAAAGTCTGAAAAAATAATAACCCGTTTAACCCAATCAACTCACCGGGTTATTCAGGTTATACTGAGTTGAACCCGGGTTGACCGAGTTACACCGGTTCACTCCCTCACTGGGTTAAGAGTAAACCTAGCCGGGCAAGGGATCGGGTCACCGATTTTTGGGTTGACCCGATCGGTCCGGTTTGATTTTCAATACCATGCTATTTGGTGATTTTAGATATTCAAGCCTGCCGGTATAAGCCAAAGCTCAAAGAGATTAGGGTTGGGCTTAACTTGCCAACCTAAAAATGTTTGACCCAAATTGAATTCAATCCATCCAATTTATAGGATCTAACAGTTAAAAACAATGCATGAGATGTAGTTAGAAAAACATATTCTTTTTATTAAAAAATATAAGATATTTTTAATCGAATCTCGCCCTTCAATAAAATAGTTACCTACTTTTTAATTAACTTTATCTTTTTATATTTACCTTTATTAAATACCTTATAATAAATATAAAATTATTATTAATAAGGACACTTTTGAAAAAATAATCAATGATTATACTTTAAAAGATTAAAAATGTCTTATATTTTTTAATATCAAACTTCTCAAAAAATATCTTATATTTTTGGAGAGAGGGAGTAGGAGATATGATTAGGAACAGTGTAGTATTTTTACAATTATATTTTAATTTTTAATTTTAATTCTTCTAAGTAACAATTATTTTTAAGATCCCCCACGATAAATATTATCTTCTTCCTAGTCTTCGTTCATTATAATTGTCCCTTTCAAATTCGATCGGCACAAGTTGTGGTATAAATCCCTCAATCCACTACTCGTGGTCGAGATGAGAGAAGAACACGGATGAAGGTGTAGCTTGGAGCGTGACGGTGAGGACGACCATGGCAATGCCGTCGGCAATTCTCAACTTTCTATTTCCGCCGCCTCCTTCTCTCTTCGTTTCAGCCATGTCGGTGATGAGCTTAGTGACGATGACACGAGCTGGATTTGACGAAATCAAAGGGAAGCATATGCAGTATTCAAAATTCTGGAATGTCAATCCCTCGAAGGAGAAGAAGAAAAAGATTCAGTTGTCTGGTAAATCGGGGATGCTTCTGGTCTATTCTCCGGCGTTTCTCGCCGGTGCTGCTTCTTTCTTCGTCTTCCGTCACGACAGTCTCAGAATAACCATCCTTCAATTTGCTCTAACCCTCCATTTTTTCAAGAGGATCGTGGAGGTAACGCCTTCTCTGACTAAAAAAATGTTTGGTATTGTTGTTCATATACATTGAGAAACAAATATATTTTTTTAAAAAAAAAAGTTTCGCATTCTTATACAATTATTATAATTTAAAATTGTATCATGTTATTAGAAGTTTATATTGGGTTGTTCAGTTGAACATATCGGTGGAAATGGTTTTCCAACAGTAGAAGAAGCAAAGACAAAGGAGAAAATTGTACACTCATAGCGTGGGCAACATATTATCAGACTTAATTCGCTCTCACCTATATATTCTAATTTCTAAGTACAAATTGGATTGAAAACAAATTTCTTTTAAAATGAGTGCAAATGGATACATGCAAGTACGGGCAGGTAACTGATAAGGCCATAGATAGCCTATACCCGCCCATGTACAACCCTAGTTTTCACCATTAATGGTAATGATTTATAGGGTTTTAATCTCATCATTTTTTATGTTTGTAACACCATGCCCCTTTTCAATTCTTGCATCCTGCTTTCTATTTCAGCACATGTTTTCTTTTCAAAATGTTGTTTCTCACTTTCTTTGCAGGTTCTGTTTGTACACAAATATAGTGGGAGAATGATTCTTGATTCTGCAATCCACATTTGCCTGAGTTATTTCCTGTTCACTACTACTCTGCTGTATGCTCAGCAGCTCACACTGGGGCTTCCAGAGCCACCAATTGATCTGAAGTATCTTGGGATTGCATTGTTTCTCATTGGCATTACTGGCAACTTCTATCACCATTATATCCTTTCTAAATTGAGAGAGAATGGTAATAAGGAATATAAGATACCTGAGGGTGGTTTATTTGGCCTACTGATATGCCCTCACTATCTCTTTGAGATTATTGGGTTATGTGGGATTTCTCTCATTTCTCAGACGCTTTATGCATTATGCTTCACCTTGGGCTCTGGTTTCTACTTGATTGGAAGAAGTTGTGCAACTAGAAGATGGTATCTTTCCAAGTTTGAAGATTTCCCTCAACATGTTAAGGCTCTTATACCGTTTGTTCTCTAAATGTTAATGACGCTATAGTTGATCATGTTTGGATTTTCGTTTAAAAGGTCCAAGTTAACAAAGGTTCAGAAAATCCGGTTTAATTACCCCCACTTTTTGGTTGATCCCCTTTCACAAACAAGAATTACTTTTTAAAGCTTAGTTTTCCTAATATAACATGGATGTTGTGTTTAGATGTATGAGAATTCAAATTTAGATTCAAACCAAATCCTTCATTTGAATATATAAAAGTGAATTTGGATTTGATTTAAACATAAATCTATATTTTATTATAATTTTTTTTAATTTCAAATTCCCTTTTGATTCTATTTATTTGAAACTAGCTTTTATGACCTTGTGGGATGCACGAGGAGATGATAATTGACAACTTGTTAAATTATAAAAAAGTTCATTCTTCATAAAAAGTTATATAAAGGAAAAATTTAGAAAGACAATAAAACCAAAGTTGTCAACCAAAAAGAAAAAAATTGTAGAGGCGTGAGCTTAGCAACAGCATGTACACACTAACCCATGACATAAGTGGTGAGAAGTTTTTACATGCTATTAAATTTGAAAAATGATGTTAATAACAGTGCAAACTTGCAAGCTAACAATTATTTTAAAGCATGCTTTTATTGTCCCATGCAATACATGGAAAAGATTAGAATTAATAGTAAAGTTTGAACAATTTATACTCTCAGTATAATTTATAGTATTAGTAATCATTAATGAATGGTTGCATATTGATTGTACGGTTTTATTGGTATTGAAGTTTTTCCTTTGCCCAAAAGCTTTTTGTTATCTTTTGTGCTTAATTGTTTAACATATTAGTGTAAATAAAAATAAACCAGCTTTCTATGGTAAAAAGCTAAGGTCTATTGATATTGTTTAATTGAAGCAATTTTAAACGCTACTACTGTATAAAAAATAATATGATATTTATCTAGATGACTATAATACTATGTCATGTCTTAGTTTTGAATCACCGCTTTGATGAATATGACATGTTTTTTCAACGTATAACTTAAGGTTGACTGTTTTCAACGATTATCACATCGTTTGAGGATTAAATCTATCACACCTACGCAATCAACTAAAAAACACCTAACGCCAACACATGTATCCTTGGTTAAATTAAAATAAACTGGCCTTAAATTAATTTAATTTTTATTAATTTAGTCCTTTTAATAAATGATAAATCTCTTCTAATTTATTTATACATTTTTATCTGATCAAATCGAAACAAGTAGAGTTTAATATATTAATAATATTAATAATCAGAGTTTATTTTAAATAAATAATCTATAAAAGAATCACATATCTTGATTTAATTAGAAACAAGTATTTTAAGTATATAAAATTAAAAACATAAATTTTCCTTAAAAAAATTACTTCCATTTCGTCACCCACCTTCATACAATTTCTATAAATTAAATTTATTATTTTATTACAAGTATAAATGCATTTTTTTACTGGTTATATGTCCATGATTATTTTTAAATGGATCTCACATCCACTTTTTTCACTGTAAATCACTAAATCTCACATTATTCTTTATTATACAGATTTTCTAAAAGAAAAAAAAAGGGAAAAACACTACTCAAAAATTTGAAAAAATATTATTCAAGCAACTATTTATCTATGGAAATTTTACATCATAATACTTTAATGGCCTGTTTGGTTCATTGAATCAAAAAAAAATGTAATATAATGTAAAGATAAGAAATGGAATATAATATAATGATGATTACATATGTTTGTTTGATATGTTATAAAAGAAATGTATTTTTTTAAGAAAAAAATAACAAAAGAATTATGAAATGTCCTTTTTACCCCTAGCCACAAAAAAAAACCCACCCATCTTCCTCCCTTTCCTAGCGATGGCTCTTCGGCTACATCACCCTTAATAAGGAAAATCAACCCCTTATGCCAGTACAAAACACACAAATCAACATAATCAAGCCAAAAAAACCAATCTAAAAAATAAACCCAAAGATAATGAGGAATGGAGGAAGATGTGACTAAGGAGATGGAATATGAGAATGGTGGTGTGGGAGGGCGGCGGCAAGGTGGGCTTCATATTGGTGGCATCATGATCGGCTTTGGACAAAAGATTTGTCTTCTGCGCGGCAGTCGTGAAAGTGAGTTGAAGGAATCCTCAACTGAACGATTTGTCTTCCATGACTGCTAGTGCTGTTCTTGCATCCTTGACGGAATCCCCTGAAGCTTCATCATTGTTCTCGTTCTCGTCTACTCGAAGGAGGCTAAATATGGGTGTTCTGATGGAGGAGGAGCTGACACGCGATGCTGAGAGCGGAGCGATGATGGCGGCAAGGGAGGAGGGAGGCGAGTTAGAAGGCGGAAGGAGGGTGAAGAAGAAGAGAGGGATATTTGAGTAAATTGATGGATGGAAATAGGGATTACATAGGTTTTTGACGTAATCCCTATTACCACATCTGACATAATTAGGATTGCATTATGTAATGGCCTTTAGAAGTAAAATGTCAACCAAACGATTTATAGATGAGAATTGCCTCAGCATGTAATCCAACCAAATGGCCCATAATATATGCTCCCTCCCTTTAAAAATATAAAATATTTTTTAAAAAATTAATTATTAAAAAATATAAAGTATTTTTAGTCTTTCGAGGTGTAATTATTATCTTTTTTTAAAAGTACCCTATTGATAATAACTTTATATTTATTGTAGGGTGTTTAATAGGGTAAATATGAAAAGATAACATTAGTTGAAAAGTAGGTAATTACTTTATTGGAGGTGATATTCAGTTAAAAATGTCTTACATTTTTGAACAGAGAGAGTATGCTCCTTCCATGCAAAAATATAAGACATTTTTTCAAAAAATAGATGTTAAAAAATAAAAGATATTTTTAGTATTTTAAAGTGTAATTATTGTACATTTTTCAAAACTCTCCATAATAAATAAATTACTTTATATTTATTTTAATGTGAAACACCTTTTTAAATAGGAGTGAATATGAAAAGAAGATATTAATTTAAAAATAATTAACTATTTTATTGAGGGCACTATTCTATTTAAAACGCTTTATATGCTTTATATTTTTTAAGTAAGGGAGTATATATATTATTTAAAAGGGTTAAAATTTACTTTTGCCTTGTATTTATTTCTGAGGAACGCTGAACACCCTACATTCGTAAGTGAAACAAATTACTATCAAAGGATATAGTTAAAGTTTCACATATCACTATGCGTGGCCCCATGCATATACCACAATAGCATATAATGGCAGAGTTAATGGTTTATTGGCAAATGGTTTTTTTTGCTCCTCAAAAAAATAGTTAAAAAGTAAAATTACCATACTTAAGAGTATAGGATACACAACGTTCCTAAAAAATAAATACATGGGCAAAATTAGACCTTAATTCTTTTAAAACTACATAGTATTTCATTATTCTATATTTTCTGTTCTTATCATATTTTATTTTACTAAACATGATCATGCAAATATATATATATATACATATTTTAAACATACCAAAGAGTTAATTTTATCCCATTCTCACTATTTAATTACACATTTTATTAAATTATATACTCCCTCTATTAAGAAATGTAAGGCATTTTTAGTCTTTCAAGGTATAATCATTGCTTTTTTTTTTCAAAAATGCCTCTATTGATGAATGACTTTATTTTTATTATAAGGTGTTTAATAGGAATAAATATAAAAAGATAGGATTAATTTAAAAGTAGATAACTACTTTATTAGGGGTGAGATTCGGTTAAAAATATCTTACATTTTTAACAGATGAGATAGTTTTTTACTCAATATTTTGTTATCTATATCAACATATTTTTCTGGCATTACCTCCTTTTTAAACAATAAAATTCAAATCAATAATTTAAGCACATTTGAGGATGAAATTAATAAAAATTAAATTTAAGGAAGTAAATAGATAATTAAACTTAAAATATTAAAATAACTCTCTCCGTTTAAAAATGTAAGGTATTGTTAACTAAATCTCACCTCCAACAAAGTAATTACCTACTTTCAAACTAACTATATTTTTTTATATTTACCCATATTAAACATCATACAATAAATATAAAATTATTCATCAATAGGACGCTTTTGAAAAAAAATAATTATATTTCGAAAGACTAAAAATATTTTATATTTTTTAATATCTAACTCTTCAAAAAATATTATACATGTTTTAGCAGAGGGAGTAAACTACACAAAAATTCAAAGATATTAAAAATAAAAATGTTTTTAAAGTATAAGCTAATCAATAAAAGGGTAAAACTAACATATTTAAGCTTATACATTTAATATACTTATATCCAATTAAAGAAAAATACTTAGGTAGATTAAGTGTATCACGTCATTTGTAATCTGTTCAATTAAAATGCTTCAAGAAATTTAAATAAAATCTTGTATGGTATTTTTTAAAATTAATTTTATTTTTATAACAAAATGCACATTTAATTTATTATCTTTTCTCTCTCTATTATCATTAACATTAGAATCAATTTATATGTAATACCATCTAGATGTCATGTTTTATTGGACAGGCTACATGATGCACTCATTCTACCTAAATATTTCTTTCTAATCAAATTATAACATGTGAATCTTAATATATTAGTAAAATTAACAACAAAAATTTATTATAAAATAAATAATTTATTAAAAATATTCACATGTATTGATTTAATTGAAAATAAATACATTAAATTAAGTATATAAATTTTTTTTCAAAATAAAATTAATATTTAATCATAACCCCAACAAAACCCAAAACTCCTCCGTACACTTTGCAGAGCTCGCCGTGGGGCGTCGTCCGCCGCGTCTGCCCTGCTTGGTTGCTCCCCAGCAAGTATTGAAGAAGGTTCGAACCCTAGGGCTTTATCTACTCCCAAAATCCGGTGTGGTTGATTTGTTCAATCTGTTTTTGAATCTGTTCCCTGCATGGTTGTCAATCCAGTGTCGGACATCGTTCGGCTATTATACTTTTGCCCTCCTCATTTTGATTACTAGCGACTTATATGCTTTGCATTGTTTTGTTGTGCAATGTTGGATTTGCAGTGTATTGGCATTTTGTTTATTAATCTCTTTAGTGTTATCATCAATTTAGAAAATTCTCAAGGTATTTAGGATGCATGATCTGGTAAATCACTTGGCTCGAGGTTTGTCTGGCAATTTAGCAGCTTGAGTTTAAATTGTTTGTTCTGTGGCTTGGAGGAGTTGCCTCAATCAATTGGCTTACCATGACATCTTCGTTAAAGTATCTGGAAATTGAAACCGCATTATATAGACAATCCATATTTCAAAGATTCCCCCCATTGAGTGTGATATAGGTCCGCCTATAGCTGTACTGTTCTACTCATTGCAAATTCTGTTCTGTTATTTACTTATTTGACTGACAAGAACATGTGTTTGCATAAGAAAAAATTCTTAGATATTTGAAGCAACAATTTTGTCATTGATCTGATTCTGCAGCTTTAAAAAGAAGTTAAATATATAAAGTTACGAGATCTGTGATGCTGTCAAACTGTCATATTCAATGTCAACTTTTTTAATAATTCCTCCTCCTCCTCCTCCTCCATGAAGTATTAATTTGATTTGGATTTGAGTTTCTTTGCATCTTTTTTAACTACTTAAGTGAAGTTAATTGCATATCTTATACTGATTTTAAGGAAGAAATTAGTAATGAACTTCAACTCATTAGGTATTACTATTGACAGAACGTTAAGATGGTTTCAATATCAGCGCAATCCATTTAATTGATGTAATTTTGCTATTTGTATATGATTTTTTTAATTTAAATGTTACTTTTAATCCTTTATGGATTGGATGGATGAATATCTTTTTTATTTTGAATACGAATTATTTGAGATATATTTTTTTATAGTATAAGAGATGTAAAGTATATTAATTTAATCATGATTGGATTAACTGTGATTTTAGCACAATGGCGTCTTGCAATCCATGTAGCCGACCCCATCTAGTGGGATAAAGGCTTGTTGTTGTTGTTGTTAGGTTAACAGTTAACTGCGATTTTACCATTTGATCATGGTTCAACCATTGAACCTTAAACCAATGTTTTGACTGGTTTAGTGACTGTTAAGTTTCCTAAAATAAAATACAATAGGCTGACATTAAAATGAGTAGTAAAACCATAAATCCATAATTCCTAAAGGCTACCTTGCTACTTTCAATTATTCACCATTGAGCACCATTCCTCATCCCTGGCATTTATCAATTGTATGTCAAGTTATCTTCTGTATTTTGTTTTCATCACAGTTTCATTGTGGTTTTGACAAACCTGGTCTTTCCTCCAAGTTAAAACCATTCAAGGCCAAGGTGTAAGAGGGAGGCAGATTGTTGAAATGTTGAAGTTCCTTTCAAGAGTGAGGATTGAGTTCAATGCCTTGGACCCACGAACGGCTTCCTGCATGGAATTCTTGGCACAATGCAATGCCCGAAAGGCCAAGGAATCTAACCCTGCATGTCAAGTTGTTGTGAAGCGCAGAACTGATGATCACCCTCCTCAGATCACTGTAACATTTGTCAATGGCGTAGAAGAAGCCTTTGATGCAACATCCACCCCAGCCCAGACCATAAGGAACATGATTCTGGAAAAAGGTCAGCACCTTGAGACTGAGCAAATGTTTCGAGAGGCTGGTGAGGCCTGGCCTGTTATCATCCCTGAGGAGGAGCTACGCCAGCCCGCACCCCGTACCAAAGTGTGTATTGATTTCTTGCTTTTTGTTCAAGTCCTTAATGTGTGGTTAGTTTTGTGATGTTTTATCCTGAGAATCTTAGTTTTGTCATTTTATGTAATTTCATTTCTATTCGGATAACTTGCAGAACTGTTTATTTTCCTTCCCATTTCTTCATCAACTTTGCATTGAATTTCTTCATCAAAATTGCATTGATGACTATCTGTTTACTCCAGACCATGTTGCGGTAGCTTAGGTTCTAGCTTATGCTAACATGTGGTCATGAATCTGATGGTGTCTTCACTAGATTTAATAAACATTTTCTTTTCTATTTTCTAACACGAGTGAACCTTTAGTACTTACACCATTGAAATTTTTGGAAGCGTGGAACATGATGGGCCTAGGCACCCATGAAGCATTGATGCTATTAGCACACTAGATAGCTCATAGTAGGACTCTAACTAACAATATTGGAATGAATATGTTATCTTAGATTCGTACTTTGGTGGTCTGGAAGTTGGAACTCTGCTTAGACATGAAAAGCTTCGTTTGGCTATGTTTTGACTCTCCAAGAAATGAATCTTTCAGATGAAAGAGGCTTTCTCCAAGCTTTTTATATTGAACACTAAGGTCCACAGTATTAGGTATTGGGCACAGGGTAGCAGATAACTTGGCTTGTGTGCGCTTCAAAGTTAAATTTTGATGAATTTGTCTAGGTATTGTATTGTGTTGATTCTGGCTAGAGTTGAGGCTTGAGAGAGTTTCAGTGGGTTTATCAAGTACATGCACCTAGTGATTGCATGACATTTTGATAGCGCTACTGTCACAGTCCTAGGATCAAAGGATAGAATCTTGCTTGGAATGTGCGACTGGAATCTAAATCTACCTGCCCTTCAAAAGATGATCTATCACATATCGTTTATTCAAATGGAAATAACCTAACATAGCTGATTTGGCATTCTAGTTTGTTTATTATAGGCTGTTAGAACTTATTAGGGCTTTTATATTTCAGATTACCTTCCCTACAAGAAAGTAAGATGACCTTTTCCTTCATGGATCCTTGGTTCACACGTTTTGATAATTATTAGCATGCCATCTGATGAATAGCATTGCAGATCCATAACATGTGTTGCATCTTTAATTGCTGAATACTTTTGCAGGAAGCATTTTGATCGTCAATGAAAATCTTCTTGTTATGTGGTTACTCTTTAGATACAAATGAGCATAATTTGCTCTTGCTCTTAAAATGTATATGAACGGTTCTACAATATCTAGTTGATACTTAAGTAATATGGATTAATGTGGAGAATACGGCTATTAAGTTTTAGGAGCTATCTTTAGTGACATGTGTTCTGTTTTTTATTGTGAAGTATAAGAACTATAGCGTATCCAATTTATTGCTAATGTTTTGTGCTTCCTTTCTTTCAGCCAAGGAAAGCAGAAGAGAAGAAGCAATAAATAAATCCTGTTCAGCCTATGATCAACTGAAAACCATTTTGGGTTTTGTGACGTTAACATGGATTTCTTTCCGGCAGGAGACTCTATCGCATCTAATCACTGCCGCTTCCTGCCTTATTGTATTTCTGAATTATTGGGTACATTTGCATGTCATGAACCTTCTTCTTCTTCTTTGTTTGTTTGTTTTTTTTTTCTTTTTGTTTTTGTTTTTGTTTTTTTGTTTTTCGAATCACAAGGTCAGGACAACAACTTAAGGTTATAAGTGGGATTGAACTTACATCTCTTACGTTTATGAGAGCTTCTATGCCACTATGCTACAAGAGAATTGCCGCTTGACATGAATGTTGATGTCTTCAAACTATGTAATTTTAAATCTTTATGTTTGTTCAGATCCTGAATCTCTATTGCAACTTCTCTGCATCCTCTCTATATCCTCATACAAACAAAGAACAAATAGATACCCACACAGATTATGGACCTAACTATGTCCAGGTGGCTTGCGAGGCAAGAAAACAATTGGATGGTTGCTGCTACTACTTCTGCATTTGTAGGGAAAAGCTTGCATATTCTTCAATCCCAATTTCTGACTTTGTGCTCATTGAACAAAATATACGTTTCTCAGTTTGCCTGAAGACTTGGGAAAAGACATCATGTTCAACTAGATTTCAAATTCAGAAGCACCACCAATTCACTGATAAACTGATGTCTTGGTGTTATGGGGAATCATTTTCGAATCCTATAAATTTACTTGAGAATGAATGCCTTCTTCAAGAAAGCACATGGACCAACACGATGACCTGCATGAGAACATACTGTCATTTGCATCTCCTCAGTGACAAGCATCGGTTATTCTGTAGATTTTTATTGTCCTGTGGCCAGTGAAATTATATTTAAGTAAGAAAAAACTAATACACCGATTCTTATAATTTTATTCAATTTAGAATTAAGTTTTTGTAGTTTATTTTGTTTTAATCCTGTCCTTTGATTTGATTTGTTAAATTTATTAATCTGTTAAAATCCTTAAAATTTTTCTTTAAAAATGAAAGGGAAAGTATATTTATAAATTCTTATAATTTCACTCAATTTTAAATTAAATTCATATAATTTATTTTGTCTTTATCAAGCCTTTATAGTTTGATCAATTAAATCTTTTAATCACTAAAGGTTAAAATTCTTAAATTTTTCCTTTTTAAAAAAGGAAAAATAACAATAAAATTTTTCTAAAATGTATAAATGATAATTTGGTCCTTCGAAATGTAATAATTCTCTTAAAGTTTTTAAGAACTTTTCTGTCATTAATGAATTTATATAAATTACTAAATTATCCTTATTAAAAATAAACTTCACAAGTTTTGTTTAAATATTCACAACTTTATTTTTATATTTGTAACAATGTAATAGCAAATTACAATTTTGCATGTTAATTTTTTATTTATTATTGCATTTTTGCAAATATAAAAAGAAAAGTTATAAATATTTAAACAAAACTTATGAATCATTTATTTTTAACAAGGGTAATTTAATAATTTATATAAATTCATTAATGATAAAAAAGTTCTTAAAGACTTCAGAAGAATTATGATATTTTAAGGAACTAAATTATCATTTATACATTTCAAAAAAATTTTATTATCATTTTTCCTTTAAAAAACAAAATTAATAAATTTTATATTTTTATTAAATGATTATATAACTTTAGAATTAATTATATAATTTTTATAACCCAAAATTTATATAATTAAGTTGTCTTCTAAATATTTTTTATACATATAGGATTTTCATAAAAAATTAATAAAAATGTAAAAAGTGTATTAAATCAATTTTTTGATTTTAGATAAAAGTATTAAATTAATTTTTTTGTACTCTTAAAAATAATTTTTGTTTTATAAAATTTAATTATTCATTATTAATTTTAATATTTAGGGTCTAACGTATATAATAGAGCAAATTATAAGAGTTTGATTAAAATAAAATAAACTGTAAGAACCTAATTTAAAATCAAATGAAATTGTAAGGACTTATAGATATTTTTTTTCAAAATGAAATCAAGAACTTTTATATTTTTTATTAAAAGATTATATAACCTTAGAATTAATTACATAATTTTTACAACTCAAGTACTCTCCCTCCATCTAAAAAGGTAAAACATTTTTCAAAAAGTTAAATGTTAAAAAATATAAGATATTTTTAGTCTTTTGAGGTATAATCATTGCCTTTTTTTAAAAAGTGCCTCGATTGATAAATAACTTTATATTTATTATAAGATGTTTAATAAGGATAAATATAAAAAGATATGGCTAGTTTAAAAATAAGTAACTACTTTATTGAGGGTGAAATTCGATTAAAAATATTTTACATTTTTAAACGAAGGGAGTACTATATAATTAAGTTATGTTTTCCAATTTTATATAAATATATATATATTTTACATAAAAAATTAATAAAACTATAAACATTGTATTTGATCAAATTTTCTTCCTCTTAGTCGAAAGTATTAAAGCAAAATTTTTATAAATCTCAAAAGTGTTTTTATTTCGGGAAAGCTTAGATAAAGTCATGAAAGCATAAATAAGGTTGTTTCCGGAAAGCTATTTATCAATAACTTTAATTTTCAGGGATTAACATATCGAGTTAATTAAATAATAAAAGTTTGATTAAGACCAAACAAAATGTAGGAATCTAATTTAAAATTGAAAAACAAAATTATAAGGATCTGTGAATTAATTTTCCCTTTAATTTGTTGCTAAATATGTGTATGATTATCTCAAAATTTAGCAGATTATTTGTAAAGAATTTCTCCGTTCTTTAGACAATGATTTTAAGCATTCTTAAACTTTTATTTGTAAAATTATTATTTTTTTAATAATATTTTAATTGTAAATTTTGGGAAGAAGACTTACAAATTTTAGAAGAGAACTTGTAAATTAACACATTATTTTCATTTACAACTTGAGTAATATAAAAAATACATTCACTTGTAAATCTCCAATAAAATAATTGAGCTGTAAATTTAATTTTAAAGGAAGTTTTTAAATTATCACACTATATTAATTTAAAACTAGGTTATTATATAAAAACATATTTACTTATACATTTTGAATATAGTTTTTGAGCTATGCATTTCTAAGGAAGTACTTATTCAAAATTTATAAATTATCATACTATCTTGGATATATACTGTTAACCTCTAAAAATTCATGTTATTTCATCATATTTTTCTTAGATTCTAATCCATTTTGGCTCAATTGTATATGTTTTTATTGCTCAATTTAAGAAAATGTGCATTTTATTTTGAATTTGTATTCTTAACTTTGATTTGATATTTTTGGCCTAATTTCATGTTGTTTTGGTTGAAATTTCTATTAGAAGCATTTCTAAAATTTTGTGGATATTTTTGGAAGGCTTTTGGATGAAAAAATCAAGCACAAAATGAATGATTTTTGTTAGCTACAAAAATAGTATAAAACTGCCAAAATCATCTCAAAGTCGTGACTTTCGTTCGCGATTTTCGTCACTGTCAGAAAAATGCTGCGTTTCATTTATCAAAAATTGGTTGGCTAAGACATATATATGCTGAGAACTCAACCCAGAATGGATTCATCAGAATTTTAAACACATTTAAAGCTTGGTTGTACTAGAGTTTGGGCATTGGAATAGTTAGGATCAAGAGATTGAAGCTTTAAAGACATTTGAAGTTCATTTTCTTCAGTTTTTCTATTCCTCTTCCCTTTTCTCTCTTGTAATTTGAAATGGGTCCACTGATTTTGTATATTTGTAACTTGTAGATGATTATGAGTAGCTAAACCCTTTATTTTAAGATTATTTGAAAATCTTGTATGGATTAACACTATATTTCTCCTCTCTTTTTGTGATTAATGATATATGTGTTTATTTTACTCTTTCCTTAATGCTTCTAAGTGATTGGCCACCATTTAAATGTTGGGTTCACTTAATTGATACTTGAGAGGGCTAGGTTAAGTGTAGAACTTGGATAATATTGTGCAAGAACTTGATATTTACATGTTAAATGGATGGTTTTGCTAGTAAGATAGAGATATACTTGCTAGCCTTGTATAGCCACATTAGGGTTGATGTTTAAAATTAAATTTTATTAATTGTAACAAGAGATTGGGCAATTAATTTAACTAGACACTTATTTATGAGTTGAGAGAGCTTGTCCAAGTATTTTTAAAACCCTAGGTTAGCACTTATTTTCATTAAAAGCATTTATGAGACGAGGTAATTTTAGTGTTATGGAATGTAAGGGGGATAAATAATCCTAGGTCCTAATTTGTGTTTGAAGTTTGTGAATCAATTATTTTTCTTTATTTTCTAGTGTTAGTTTCATTTGTAAAATCATTTTCACTTAACTATGTGTAGCTCAACTTGATCGAATTTGCTTAGTCTTTTGTTTGATCATTGTTTTTGAACAAATCCTCGAAGGAATGATACTTTACTTTCATTATATTACTTGCTAAGACCCGTGCACTTGCGGTGAGCAACATATACACTAGCTGAGTTGTAAATTTCAAAAGTAATCACATATCCACATTATTAGTAGTATATTAATATTTTTAAATAATAATAAAATTTAAGTTCTTAAATATTGAAATATTTTAAAAAATATTATTAAAACAACGGTTAAGATCATTTTTGCCTCTTAACTTTACTTGAAGGGTCATTGGCCGCCATAAACTCAATTATGAGTAAATTTTATCTGTCAACGTTAAAAATTTCTCTCTTGTTACCCCACCGTTAACTCACCATTAGTTCATTGTTAGTGGGTTTCACGTTCAAATTTTTAAATTTTTTATTGTAAAATATTAGGTTGAATATCATTTTTACCCCTCAATTTTATCTCAAAGGGTTAGTGGCTACCCTAAATTCAAATATTTTATAATTAAAAAAATAAAATTTTACAATTTTAGATTTTTTCCATTATATCATGAACCAATTTTACAGTTACAATATCACATATCCACATTATTAGTAGTACAAAATCTCAAAGCCAAACCATTGATTCCAATCAAAGTTTCCAATCAACATTGCAAAATGAAGGCAATTGCCCAATTTTGAACTAGATATGTTCTTTGGGCAAAAGAAAACACTAGATATTTTTAGGCTCTATGTCATTCAAAGTCCAAAATGTGAAGTCCATGGGTTAACACTATGGTCCGTAAAATTCAAGGTCCAAAGTAAAGCTTTTGCGAAAACTCTAATGGAACTATCATCCATCCCTATCAACTAATATTTTCAAAACTAGACCAAAAATGTCATTAATTTACAATTCGCGTGATTCAATTGGATTGAATTAATAGTCAAATCAATGAATTTAAAAATAAAACTAAATATTTTAAATTTATCATAATTTAATAAGTCACATGATACAATATAATATCAAATAAAAAAAAAATTGATAAAAATAAAAAAAGAAAAGAGTATTTTTTTTAGCAATTTGATTTTTAAAAGCCGTATTCAATTTTTAATTTAATCGCGATTCTCAATCCAATTGCCAGTCCAAAACAACCAAATCCTGCCTAACTTCCCCAAAAATTTTTCTGGCTTAATCGAGCTATTAACCTAATTGTTAGATAATTCGATTAGTCTTGCCATCCGATTCAATTTGATTTTTTAATTATTGCTTCAACATCAACAAAATATACTTATGCTTGAGTTCATCCTCCGCCCAAGTTCAAGACGATGAAGCTAGGTTAGTCTGCTAGTCACTGCTCGAGGTTCTGTTTTACATGCCAATGCAGCAGAATGCATGTCCTTCATCCGTTTGGTTCATGAGAAATTGCATCAATTTAAAAGATAATCATATATTTTTGGCGCACTCCCTCCCCCATTTGATAGTCTTAAATTTCCAAACTTTTTTGTAATTTTTTTATAAAAATGCCACCACTGATCAAGGGACAAAGTCATGATTGAGTTGCATATATAATACCATAGACATTTACATTTATAACAAAAATTATTTTATTATCAATTTGACTCTAATTTATATTTAGCCCTATCATGTGTTCTATATCCAAAAATAAATGGGACTAAACTTTTATTCCTTGTCTCATCCTATTGCATTTGGGACTAGAATGAGATTAGGACAGGATTAAAAGGTTTTAGTAAAATAGACAAAATGTATCAAAAAGACATAAATAATTATATTTATTAAATTACAGAACTTATTAAGTTCGAAATCAAAACAATATGAATTTATAAATTCAATTATTAAGTTACAATTTAAAATAAAAGAACATATTCACAACTTAAAGTTAAGTACACCATAATTACAAATAACATTGAGCTACAAGTAGAACAACAACAAAATCATTAAGTTATATAGTTTAAATAAACTATTTAGGTATAACACCAAGTCATATTTTTTTTTTTAAGTTGAGATATTTGATGTTATTTGAAGCTATTATATATTAATTAAAATATATATGTATATTATTAGAAACAAATATATACACCGGATAAATAACCTATTACATATTAATAAAAAATAATAATATATTATATTAGTACGGGATGTGTCCTGTCTTTTTTTCTTTTTTTGAGTTAAATGGATTTATCTTCACATGATTGGTTTATAGTCAAGCCAACTAAATGAGGGCAATCATGAATACCACTAACTGTAATAAGACCATGATGTCATCGAAAATTTTCCCCCATTGTATCATGAGCCAATTTTATAATTATATCAGGTATTCACATCATTAGTAGTACAAAATCTCAAAGCCGAACCGTTGATGCCAATCAAACTTTCCCATTAACATTGCAAAATGAAGGCAAGTGTCCAGTTTTGATCTAGTTATTTTGGGGTCTCATGTGATTCAAAGTCCAAATTGTGAAGTCCATGGGTTAACACTGGTCCATAAAAATCAAGGTCCAAAGTGAAGCTCCTGCAAAAACCCTAAATGGAACCATCATGCCTCTGCTCGAGTTCGAGATGGTGAAGCTAGGTTTGTCTGCTAATCACTGCTCGAAGTTCTATTTTTCATGCCAATACAGCAAAATGCATGTCCTTCACATGTTTGGTTCATGAGAAATTGCATCAAGTTTAAAGATAATCTTGTATTTTTTTAGCTCTGCCTCTCCCCCATTTGATTATCTCTCTTGTGAGCTTCGCTCTGGAACTGTTGTCTTCTCTGGGATATGAATGAATTTTTATTCATCGATGGCGTAAGTAGAAAGTGAGAATGTTGGACTTGAACTGAAATGGTGATATATTTATTTTAACGTGTTTATCTTCTATAAATGTCGTGGTTGCTATGCATATTGGGATATACTTTGGTAGATCGCATTTTTTTGTGGGGTATAAAATTTCAATTCAAATGAAGTGGCTTTTTTAAGAATGAATTGGTTGAAGTTGACGATGGAAATGGTTTTAGTAGAAGGTTATTGTGTAAGTATTCACAGTAACAAGTTCACCTTGTCCCTGTGTCTCTGGTCGGAATTGGCTTTCCTCCATTGCAGTGGAGGGAACTCTGCAAATCTGGGCTGTTAGATTCAATTTGATAATTTAGACTATGTAGTTTTTAAAAGTACAGATTAATCTGTATTGATAAAATTTAATCTGAATGGTTCATATCTATAGTGGAGGCCCAATAGAGAGAAACCAAGTTTGACCGCTGTCTACCAGTGGTAGCCACAGTAAACTGTGCTGACATCACAGGGGCAAAGAACCTGTACATTATGTCAGTGAAGTGAATAAGGGTCGTTTGAACAGATTGCCATCTGCTTGTGTGGGTGCCATTGTCTTGGGTACTGTTAAAAGTGCAAGGCCGACGCTGTTATTGTGAGACATCGCCAACCACAGCAAATAGAGAGGATATAATCTATATGTACTTTGGAGGTATTTTACTCATAATGTGATTCTATTCTGCTGTCTTTCCAGTTCCTTTCGTTTCTTGCTATTCTACAATTTTTTTTTTATTTTGGGATGGAGCTGTAGTTTATGTTTATCATGATGGATCTCAGATCGGCCAGTTGGCCCTTTTCTCCTCTTACTGTTAACTTGTTTTTGTCATTGTTTAGAGGCATCTTTTTGTAATTGGGAATGAATTTTAATGATGGTGACTAGGGTGTTGCTGATTTAGTTGTTTCCTGATGTTTACTTATTGGCTAATGTGCATATAATGAGTAGTACTCTTAAATCCAGATATGCTGATATACTTGGATTTTTGTTGTTTGGGATTTGCATTGAGAAATATTTCTTCTTCACCTTCTTTATGTATGGTTGTGAAAGTTGTTTTCTTTGGAAACTCTGCTGGTAATGTAGTGTGGAGAATTTTATATGTTGTCTCCACATGTCCCATCACCAGCTATACCAATATTCTCAACCTTCCCTTACCCGGATGATAACATTCTTATTTATTGTCCTTGTCAGGGTTGGGACATCTACCAACTTATTTGAACTGGGAAGATTTGGTAGTATGGGATACCTAATCCCATATTGAGTAATATGTTATGCTTAATGAGGTATCTAAGTTAGTTGGTTCTTTCACCTCAATAGCCAGCTTTTGGAGTAGGGTTTCTCAATCCACTTAGGCACCCATCAGAGTCCTACTCCTTTTGAAATCAAAGTGATTGGTCATGCTCCATTTTGATTGACTTTTTGGTATCAAATGTTAGCGGTTCTTTGTTTCTCTCGTGATTAATCAGTTATTGTCTTTGGGGTCCATGTTGGAAATTATGTGGGGGCTTACATTAATTATTTTATTTATTTGTTAAAATGGGTTAATGCTTTAATGTTTGGTCCCTAAAATATTAATGCCCAATTATGTTATGTGATCATATACTTGATGGGCCTAACACGCGATTTATTAAGTCTGGTAAGTAGCTAAAGTATGGGTCGTTAACCTTACTAAAGCTTGTAGTGGGTGAGTCCAGTAAGGATTATTAAATAAGCTAGGTCCCATTTCTAACCCTAATTCAATGTGTGCTTCCCCACCAAAAACCACATAATTCTTAAAGGGTATGGAAAACCTAAGTTGACTAGCTCACGTAGCTTAGTGACTATGGTCAAATCAAGCACGCAATTCTATCCTATATATTTGTTTGGCTTCTTAACATATACTCCATTAGATCCCTATCTAATATGTTAATTAGATCTTACAGTCCAGACATTAGTCAGGCATCCTTCGTGACTTGAAATGGGTGATACCGTTACGAGTCTGGTAAACTAATTGAGTCCATCGTTACAGATATGCTGATTCTTCAAGTGCTCACATCTGCTCCATTAGGGCCCTGCAAGGATTTTTTTTACCAATTGCTTGATTTTTGTCAATCTGTATGTTCTCTATTAAATGAAAATTTCATTTGATAGATTGTTGGTGCTATCTTTCTGTGCTGTATGTAGTTGTCCAATATTTGATATATTTACTAATTAGATATGCTTGAGAAAAAAACGTTTCCTTTTAGGTGGTTTTCTTTTGCAGACAATGCCGGTGTTATCACAAATGAAAGGTACAAATTTCATTTAGTTGTAATATATTTATATATATATATATATTCACTGCCTGAAATAATGGAAATTTTTTATTTAGATTCTTTTGTTGGATGCTTACCTTTGTAATCCCCTTGATCTCCCAATCTCTTACCTGCTTGAACTCTATGGTTTTAAATACTGGAGTAAATCACACTGGTCTCATTATAATAGAGTACAATAGTGTTGTATAATCTATATAGCCGATCCCCCTTGCAAGGGTGAATGCAAACCAAACAATTACATTGCCCTTTTGGAATTTTTTTTAATGGATAAAGGTGCATTTTTGTCCTTGAAGTATTTTCTGATAAGCACTTAGTATCATAAGCTATTTGTTGAAGTAATTTTGCCCATAAAGTAATTAAAACGAAGCATTTTTGTCATTGCTGTCAAATTTCTAGCATTAACCGCTAGAAATATTAACTGAGACTCTAATGTTGACCATTATAAAATTTAACGAAAAAGGTAAAAATGTTTTGTTTTAATTATTTTAAGAACAAAATTATTTCAATCAATAGTTTAGGATATCTTTTTTTCTTTTTAATTTTACTTGTGAAAAACAAAAACAAAAAAAATTAGCGTTAGCCCCTTCATATTTTAGTAGTTTTCAACTCCCCCCCCCCCCAAATTTGTTTCTAAGATTTGTTACTGTTGTTGTGGCAGTACAAAATTTCCTCAATTTTAAAAATTTACATATTCTCATTTATTTGGTCTCGTGTGAACGAATTTTTGGTTCTGCCATTACTTGTCCAACTGGAAGGGAGTTCGCCGATCTGTGGCCAAGAATTGCAGCCAGTGCCATTGAGCCTATTGAGCGATTAATAGCTTACAGAGGGAGACTTCCAACTCTGCCCTCTTGCATAGGGGTAAAGGAATATGTGCATAATTGAATTGAGTTTTGCAGATCTTTTTTTTTCTTTTTTTGGTTAAAGAGAAAAGTGGTTTTGTGATGTGTTGCTTAGATTATTGTATGTGATTTGTCGGTTTGTTAAGCTCGTTCTATTTTATTCTTCTCTTAAATTGTTGATGAGATTGTTTTCCCTAATATGGTTGTTGATCTATATATATATATATATATATATATATAAAATCGTGATACAGAACATCGTAAAACTGAAATTGATGGGATCTATAAACATTTTTCATTTTGGCCAGGATGTATATGAATTTCTCAGGTTAAGCCACGTGGATGAATAAATTGCTGGAATTTATATTAGACAGCTACCTGCATATTAATATGGCTGGTCCACCAATAATTGCTTGTCTATAGCAATTATTATTATGATTATATATTATTAAAACCCTACAATTTCTCTCATGTTATGGTAAGCTACTTTTTACTCCGACATGGAGTGATTATTTTCTACAAAATTACAATATCAACATAACTATACATGCTTTGGGATGTCTATTTTTAAAATAGTTAATTTCATAGTAATTTATAAATCCAATCAATCATTGGTTTATGTTTGAATCATCAGTTATCAAAAAGCATTTAGTTTGAGCTGGTAACTAGTAAATCACCCGAATTTTGTATCAGATGTTATTTTTGCAATTTCTTTTAATGGTTAGATGGTGGAAAATATTTATGCAGCAAGTAATTATATGCTTAAAATAATAATAAAACATAACTAATACGTAAATAATTAATATTTATGAATGATAGTGAAAAAATTATGGTAATGATGTGTTGGGTAAATTTTAAATGAATATCTAATCTCAAGTAATTTGTTAACATGTATTGTATATGAATGTAATTACTTGTTTTGCCAAATAAAGGGTTAACAAAAAAAATTATGGCATCTTAATGAATAGACAGTTGTCATACATTAGTTAAATTGTTAAAAATTTGCTTGCAAACTACCTTCGACATAACATTTGTGAACTTACCATTTGTATCAAAGATTAATATCTTCAATCCTTTCCTACTCTGTACTTCTGTACTTAAGATATAGTAACATATAGCTGGTCATGTGTAAAGAAAAGTCTTTGTATGTATAGCTCAATGCTAAGTAAGCTCTAATGTTAACTCTTGTTTATAGTCATAGTGAAGAACAAAATAACTGAAAATTGCCTCCCATGAAGAATGAATGGCAATTGAGAGTCAAAGGGTCATATATCAATCCTTAAAATATAGACCTTTGTCCTAGCATTTAATCTTGAAATCATTTGTGCTTCCAAAATATGTTTTCCTGCTTAGGTGACAATTAGACGTGTGTCATTATAAAGATCAAGAGATTTATTAATATTTATTAAGAGCATAACAAGAGCTCTAACTTAAAGTATCAACTCATGGTTTGAAAGGCCGAACATCGATTTTTGAGTTTAAAAATTCAGTGGAATATAAATCATCCATTGACATTCAAAAAGAGAGAGGCCATAATGTCCATTCATATCTTAAAAAAGTGGCATGCCACATTAACTATATTTTTTGACAATAATTATATGTTTTATATATAATTGTTATGCACAATCTATCTCTTGATAAACATCTATGCATATTTTTTTATACGCACGCACATATATAATCGTTGATGGAAATAATATTTAAATAAATGTTTGAAATCTGAACTATGATATTTTTAGCACTTCTTTTTAAGATTTTCAATACACTTTTTTTTAAATTTTTTCAGCTTCAAATTTAGCAATTTATAAAAATCATGACTTCATTGACATCTATTTTGAAATGGTATTCGTTGTTTAGTATAATATCACACACATAAATTTTGGGCACTTCATTTTGATTACTAATTTCATGAATCAACAGTCTACATTTAATGTGATGGTTTAAAGAATTAAATTAATAATCATATCAATCATTGTCAATTGATATCTTGTAGGACTAGATTCTAGTAATTTCTTCCACTTAAAATCCCAAATTTAATGATGAATTCAATCCCTATGAAATTGAAACATAATTTTGGATTTGTCAAAAAAAAAAAATACTGGGTACTTTTCAATAAAAAATCTCAGTACTTTTCAAACAAAGATTGAGTAATGACATAACAAAAATTCATTTACCATGTGCATAATCTATCATCAGAGATTGGTTCATTTTAATTAGTGGTATACGCCAATTTCAACACTAATACGTGGTGTATTCTTCTTTTAATAGTTCATATTATGTAACAATTGAATCTGGGTAGTTCATATTATGTAACTATAATACATGGTAGCAATTGAATTTATTTGATATGTGTATCAACTGAAATCAAAGGCATCTATAATCAATCATCAAATTATAAGTATCCAAATTCATGCCGCATTATAAATAAAAATTTGACCCTTAGTGTTAATTGACGTTAATTACCTTTCAGTTTATGAATATATTTTGATGTCAATAATTGTCAACTTTAAATTAATGACCTAACCAAATAGTATTAAATTAGCGACATTAAGTCTAGCTTTGGTATATTAATTTGGAAGTTTACTAAATACATAATTGATTGATGACAGATATTTTGGACATTTATTATTTATTAAATATATTATCTTAATGTCATAAATTTTGGCATTTATGGTGTTAACATTCTGGCATCCACCCCCCAAAATTCTTATTTTAAAAAATATCTATTATTATTAAATATATTTTTAAAATTGGGTAATTAATGTTGATTACCTGTAAAAAAATTCTAGATTACAAATTTAAATCTTAATTTTAATGTTTAGAAATATTTTCTTTTTTATGTATTTATTATATTGCAAAGATTTATTAGTTTGACCCTTTATAAAATACTGATGCTTATTTTGATTGATGAGTAAAAATTGAAATTTATTGAAACTATAATTTATTGACAGCTCCAAATTCCAATATTGGTGTTAGATCCACACGTTAAGGTTCATATTTAACTCAAACACTTGGAAAATATTATTGTTGTTGTTGTTGTTATAAATGTATAACAGCATCAATGATGATATACAAATATAAGGATAGTTAGTGAATATTTTAGACCATTAAAAAAAAAAGTAGTTTCGAATTTGTCATCTACAGAACTACAACCTAGTGACCATTGCATAATTTTAAAGTTGGAATTGTTTTGGTTTATTGATTTATTATGATATAAAAAAAATCATAACAATAAATTGTTGAGCATAAATAAATTGCTGACAATAAATAACGTGCATGCCAAAAAAACCAATCAATTAAATGTAACCCATATTTATTAACTAATAAATACGGGAAAAAACATGCATTTGTACTTAAAACAACGTATGGTTTCGTAATAATCACCTTCCTTGACAATATTCAACATAATAAATTGTTGGCTACTCCTCCATAACATGATATATAAGTAGCATGTAAAATAAAAAATGCATCAATATAATTAAAGAACAAAGTAATAAATGTCATGCCAGCATTATACCAACGCATTTTTATTCATAATTAAGCTGGTCCAATATAAAGATAAAGAATTAAAATATCATCTAATACCAAGTGTTGGCAAGACAACGTATTTATACATAATTTATTGAACTTATTCAAAATGAGTTTGCAAGAAGTGCATGCTAAATATTTAACTAATAAATCACTTCTCAATCTTGATTTCCTTTTTCATGTTTGTGGACTGATCTCCTTCAACAACCGCATCTTTCACCTTTGTGATATTGTTGGAATTGCGATTATTAATCAGTGTAATTGCATTAGAGCAACCGACCTTTGAGTCCAAAAAAGATGAAACGGTGCCCTGCCACACAAACATAATAATCATAATTGGGTGATGGCACAACCAAGTAAAAATGGCATAACAGGTAAACTTGGAGCAACTTACATTAGTGCCATCGTTGTCAGCATAACCTTCTTCTAGTGTCACTGGAGGTTGGTGAGACTTATCCTTGAAGGCCTTGATTATGTCCTCATTATCAATCACGTGTGTAATGTTCATCTTGACATTATCAAGACAATACTCTTATATACTATTGTGATAACTAGGATTAGATAAAATTTTAAGTAAATGTTATCACAACCCAAGGATTTAAAAGATAATAAATTAAAATAATGGAATCCTAAGAAAACTCTTTTTAAAATAATGTTTGACCTCAAACCGTAATTAAAAATCAAATAAACACAAATACAAAAGCATGAAAATTAAATAGCTTTCAAAATAAGCTAAAACAAGCTATTCTTTTAAAAATCTGGCCTGTCCGCCGCGACGGATGGCACAGAGGGATGAGTTCCTCGAAGGCCATTTGTGTCGCGATACGCACCTACTGTTATGATAACAGATTGTTGTCATGACAGCTCTTCGAATTTTCGAAACGTGTCGTTTCATCATCCGATGATTGATTTGAGCGATTCAAGTGTCCATACGAAGCTCTTTGAGCCCTCTAGCTAATGGCACCGGTCTCACACTCGAATAATCATTTGTTAAAAGATAGACATCCGAACCCAAATTGATTTTTTTTAAAACACAAATAAATGTGTCCAACTCACAATACCAAATGTCATAGGCTCTAGAGACACTTTAACTACATCAAATAGACCACACACAACATCACACAAATAAGTAATCACACTCAAAATGACCACCAAACTCCTATCTAACAATAACATAAAGGGGTGGATTGAATTTAGCACACATATCAACTTGGTTATTTTGACACATAATTCACTTCAAATTCATC